CTAAATGCTCATCAGACTAAAGCCAGTGGGTGTACAAATGATTTTGTTGGTTGTGGTGTCTTGATTTGGTTGTGGTGTCTTGATCTAGTTGTGGTGTCTTGATCTAGTTGAGATGTCTTGATCTAGTTGAGATGTCTTGATTTAGTTGTGATGTCTTGATTTGGTTGTGGTGTTTTCATTTAGTTGTGATGTCTTGATTTGGTTGTGGTGTTTTGATTTGGTTGTGGTGTCTTGATTTAGTTTTGGTGTTTTGATTTGGTTGTGATGTTTTGATTTGGTTGTGGTGTCTTGATTTAGTTATTGTGTCTTGATTTGGTTATGGTGTCTTGATTTAGCTGTGATGTCTTGATTTGGTTGTGATGTCTTGATTTGGTTGTGATGTATTGACTTGGTTGTGATGTATTGACTTGGTTGTGGTGTCTTGATCTAGTTGTGGTGTCTTGATCTAGTTGAGATGTCTTGATCTAGTTGAGATATCTTGATTTAGTTGTGGTGTCTTGATTTAGTTATTGTGTCTTGATTTGGTTATGGTGTCTTGATTTAGCTGTGACGTCTTGATTTGGTTGTGATGTCTTGATTTGGTTGTGATGTCTTGATTTGGTTGTGATGTATTGACTTGGTTGTGATGTATTGACTTGGTTGTGGTGTCTTGATCTAGTTGTGGTGTCTTGATCTAGTTGAGATGTCTTGATCTAGTTGAGATATCTTGATTTAGTTGTGGTGTCTTGATTTAGTTGTGGTGTCTTGATTTGGTTGTGGTGTTTTGATTAGGTTGTGGTGTCTTGATTTAGTTTTGGTGTCTTGATTTGGTTGTGATGTTTTGATTTGGTTGTGGTGTCTTGATTTAGTTATTGTGTCTTGATTTGGTTATGGTGTCTTGATTTAGCTGTGATGTTTTGATTTGGTTGTGGTGTCTTGATTTAGCTGTGATGTATTGACTTGGTTGTGGTGTCTTGATTTGGTTGTGATGTATTGACTTGGTTGTGGTGTCTTGATCTAGTTGTGGTGTCTTGATCTAGTTGAGATATCTTGATTTAGTTGTGATGTCTTGATTTGGTTGTGGTGTTTTGATTTGGTTGTGGTGTCTTGATTTAGTTTTGGTGTCTTGATTTGGTTGTGATGTTTTGATTTGATTGTGGTGTCTTGATTTAGTTATTGTGTCTTGATTTGGTTATGGTGTCTTGATTTAGCTGTGATGTCTTGATTTGGTTGTGATGTATTGACTTGGTTGTGGTGTTTTGACTTGGTTGTGATGTCTTGATGTGGTTGTGATGTCTTGATTTAGTTGTGGTGTCTTGATTTGTGTGTGATGTTTGGTTGGTTGACTTTGTTGATGGATATTTTCTGCAGTAATTGTTTTCTTAAAGCTCCTGTGAGGCAAGAGGTCAAACTTTGTCCCCAGGGGATGCTTGTGAGCACAAAGGTTTTCAGTTGTACGGTGTTAAGCTCTCAGGTTCACAGTCATTTTGTTTAAAAGTGGAAATCATCCTTTGTAATTAGCATTTAAAATCAAATGTCATTATATATAATGAGGTAAAATAAGTGTATAAAGAAGTTTTTTATAAACATGTTTGCACGATTGTTATCCTAATGTACCTCACACACATTTACACCATCATCAGAATTGTTTTGTATCCCAGCTCCATTGGTTGCCTGATAAATCATTCAACAAAAATAGCTATTGTAGCTTTTTTTTAACACTTTATCATACTTACGGTATTATAAAAACTATCCCTTCATCCAGTGTATCCTCTGGAGTAACTAGGGTTCTTCTTAAAAGCAGGAGATATGGTGACTACACACCATCTTTATATGACTGAAATACATGAAAAAAAACTACAACACGCTGTATAGCCAATATACAAATAGACTATATGAAGTATATTTAATTTCTAAGAACTCAAGGTTATATATATATATATATATATATATACTGTTTTTTAGTTTTTTATTTGACAACTGATGTCAAGACAATGCTTTAATTTTTTAGAATGAAATGGAAACAATGTCATAGGTGACAATATTGTTGAAAGCAGTGGGTTGACTCTGAGTGTCATCATATCAATCATGTAAGATAGAAAATATGAGACAAAATGTATTAGGAATAACTATAAAATGTTTAATTATATATATATATATATATATATATATATATTTTACAGAATACCATTATATCGTGTCTTGTTAAGTCTTAATCAATTGTTTGTGGCCACCTCCTCCCACATACACATCCATAGGGCCCCATTGTACCAAGTCGCCCTGAAATCCTGGCTGCACTAGTTTCCTGTTAGGGGCTGGTGACAGCATAGGGTCAAGTGAAAAGTAAAATAACTTGCTTTTATGTAGAGATAACAGTCTAAAGAAGATAAAAATGACATATTTGAATGTTTGGTGTCCTTACTTATAAAATGACAGACTTTGATATACATACCTTCTGAATTTTCGTTTCAATTTCTGCCTAAACTACATATGTATTCAAATGTGAAAAATTCAAAAATTGAAAATGGTATTGATAAAAACTTTGCATAATTGTAACTAATAACTATCTGTGAACATCCTGTCCAGATTTGGTGAAATTCTGATTCAGATTCCCAGAGATACATGTGATAAGGCTAGAGCTGTCACTTTTGGAGAAGCCCTAATTTGACCCATTTTCGTTTTTTGGTAAGATGCATAAAACATCTAAAAAAAGAAGTTATTTTGCAATAAAATATTTTTATACAACTATCCGTTTCATAAACTAGACATGTTTAAGTTATGAACAAATATGGTTGTGCTTTGTTCTACCTCGGGTAGGGGTCTCTCAACTTTTAGGATTCAGCCAGGTTTCGGTGATGAAAAAAGCACAGCTGTTAATCTTGTGCGAATAAATCCTCAGTCTCAGCTCGTCGGTCTTGTTGACAATGGACCGGGCGTTCACGACAAACAGGCTTGGTAGTGCCGGTTTGTCGGGGGAGCATCTTCAGTTCAGGAAGTCTCACTGCTACATACGTGGAAAAAAAAAAACTCTTCAAGGAATGGGAACACAAAGAGCTGACGGACTATATCAGCTAGAAACATGCTGTCACATGCCAAGTTGCCGAAGATGTAGCCACCGCAGCTTACACCGAACAGGCTGCCCACAGCTGTTCTGAAGCAAGAGACACCCTACGAGAGATGGTGTGGGAAAAAAACCTGACATCAGTCACATGAGGGTGTTTGGTTGTGTTGCTTATGCACAGATCTCAGATGAAAAGAGACGAAAACTGGACAAAAAGGCTGTGAAGCTTCATTTTGTGGGATATGCAAACAATACCAAGGGCTTTCGTCTTTATGATGAAGAGAAAAGGAGGATTCTAATCCGTCGTGATGTCATTTTCAACGAATCAAACTTTGACTGGAATCAGGAAGCAGAAGTCCCCTGTTCAGAGAACGAGATAACCATGCAAACAGATCAGAGTGAAACACAAGGTGAGGTCACTGCTGATGACACTGTCAGAACAAGCGACATAATCAGAAAGGCTCCAAGGAGATATGGATCTGATGAGTTTGCTGATACAGTTATTGATGATCATCATGCCAGTATGTGTCTTGTGACAGAGCCACTCACAATGAAAGAAGCAATGATTAGTCCAAATGCAAAGGAATGGCAGGAGGCGGCTGATTTGGAATATGAGTCGCTACTGGAAAATGGGACGTGGGACTTAGTGGATTTACCAAAAGAAAGAAAAGCAGTAGGATCAAGATGGGTGTTCAAAGTCAAGCATCATAGTGATGGACGAGTAGAGAGATACAAGTGGAGACTCGTCACCAAGGACTACTCACAGTTGTATGGTGCTGACTATGATGAGACATTTTCACCAGTGGTACGATTCAGCTCTGTTCGTACATTACTGTCCTTTGCTATTCAAAACAATCTACATGTGCACCAGATGGACGTCGGAACTGCATTCCTCAATGGACACCTGGAAGAAGAAATCTACATGGAGCAACTAGAGGGATACATCAAACCAGGGCAGGAACACCAAAAATCAATCTATGGACTGAAGCAGTCTCCTTGTTGTTGGAGAAAGACCTTCACAGAGTTCATGATGGAACTTGGATTCAAACAGAGCACATCAGACCCCTGTGTGTTTGTGAGATCAAGACTAGAGCTTGAGATACTAGCAGTTTACGTGGATGATATCATTCGGATAACAGAGTCCACTGAGAGCATGAACGAGCTGAAAGCGGCTCTCAAGGAGCACTACAAGATGAAAGACATGGGTGAGCTGTCCTATATCCTGGGCATCTCTGTGGTAGACAAAGAGAAGAACTGTGTCTTTCTTCATCAAAAGCATTACATTGAAGCCATACTTCATAAATATGAAATGGATAAAGCAAATCCTGTAGCAACTCCTGCTGATGCCAACATCAAACTGAAGAAAAGTGATGGTGTAAGTCAAGCCAGTACACCAACAAAACTATCCACACGACCACACGACCACACATAGCTCAAGCTGTGAGTGCTGTGTCAAAGTTCAACGCAAATCCCGATGCTGCACATCTGACTGCTGTGAAGAGGATATTTAGATACTTGAAGTGGACAGTGAACCTTGCTCTTAAGTATGAGCGGTCAGATTCTGGAGCTTTGACCAGACGTTTACCACAGTGATCCTGGAAGACAACCAAGGAGCCATCGCAATCGTGAAGAATTCCGTGGATCACTCCAGAACTAAACACATTGACATTCGCTACCACTACATCCGTGAATGTGTGGAGAATGGACAAATAGAACTGCAGTATTGTCCAACACATGACATGAAAGCGGACATCTTGACCAAGCCTTTGACTAAACAAAGGTTTGAAAAACTAAGAGGAGCGATCAGACTTTTTTCCTGTGTAAGAGTGGTTGTTTGTGCTTGACAGGTGAACGCCAAACGCTGCCTGATCAAAGCAAGTCTGAAAACATGTGAAAAAGAGTTCCAGTAAAATCAATGTAAACAAAAAGTAAAAAAAAAAAAAGGGGTGAAGCCTTTTTTGATGTTGTTTAAAGATTTATTTTCTTGTCATTTTGTGAAGGAGAGCATGGCTCTGTATTATTATTTAAAGGTTCTAAATACCATTGTAAAGTGGGAGTGTTGTAGTACAGTAATTTTACCTATGGTGGAGCTGTTCTCTGTTTCTCCTCTGCTTATCAAGTGATGTTGTTCTGTGCTCACACTAAATAAAGCTCACGTTAAACTTGCAGATAGAAATCAAAATACTACCTGAATGCTAAAGAGAAGGCAAGAGCAGAGACAGCTAAGCTAAAGTTAGTACACAAATGCTAAAAGGCATTGATAAGATCTCGTCAGAGTATTTGATGAGATGATTGATGCTATCCTCAACAATGTACGAGTAAACTAAGAAGAATACAGCAAGAGTAATTTAGCTGAACTTAGTACAAAGACTGAAAAACCAAAGCTTTCCAGAGGTAACACATGTGTATTGAATCCCTTCTTCAGCACGCTGATTCAAATAGCTTAGCTTGATTATTGTATACTTACCGTAACTTAAAAGTAAAAATAACCCGGAGCTTAGCACAACAAATTTAAACATCTAATCACATACTTTATCCTTCATATATTTTGTGTGCCATTTCATTATGTATTTTATGTACGAGCTGCTCAAAACCAATTGCCCCTAAAAGGATTAATAAAGTTGTTTGAATCAAATTGATAGCATCAGTCATTTTATCTAACTAATAACAATGTCTCATCCATTATGTTAAACAATGTCTTCCTGCTCATCTTGAGGCTGTGTCAGAGGTCCTTCTTTACCTCTATAGATCTCTCTCTCAAGCTGCTACTGTGTCCACCTCCAGTGTACTATATTTGTCTCACAGTGTGTTGACCTGCACGTCTCCAGGGTCCGTGAAAACTAGAACACATCGTTATTAACAAAACAGAACCTTGTCTCTTCCCCTCTGTTGGTTTTCTTCTACAACACAACATCTCATATTGCAGCACATATTCATGGGATGCCATGCATGAGTGTGGGCACATTTACAGCAGATATTTGCAGACACCATGGTGACACTGCCAAGAGAACCCTGCATCCACACATACATTACACACATTAATACATGTAAGAGGAGGATAACAAAGATCTGGAGGATGACATTCTTTTACCTTGTCTGTCTAGTCAAACAAAACAATAGATTCCCAACCAGAAGCGGATCTACTAATCACAGTGAGAGTTGCAGCAATTGAAGAAGTCAAGCAAACTGGTTCAGATCTTGGATTCTACCCAACCTAAAAGTCTCAGTATGTCTCTAAAAAGTTCCACCACCAGAAACATGGTAAAACAGGCAAAAATATTGGAGTTGCTTTTGTAAAAAATAGAAAGATTAGAACACAGAAAGGTTTCAAGACTAAACTGAGTTTCATTAGAACAGATGATCAGTTGGTGTTTCTAGACCTTGAAGTACAGGTTCTGATCTCAGCAGCCCTGCTCTCTCCAGTGCTTTGTCAACATTGGGAATTAGTTTTTCGTTAAAGTCCCACAGGCGTGTATCCTTATTGAGCTCCTTGGCATCCAATTTTCCCCTCAGAGAACCACGGACGTGAATGATCCGACAAACGTCTGGGGGAACTTTGTATGTGGTTCCAAAAGCCTTGAGCACATCATGCACAGAAACGTGCTCCACCAACCTGTTAATCACAGAGACACAAAAGAACAGTGTATCAGTGAACCTCGTCTTGGCTTGGAGGAATGTTTTGGATTTCAGTTTGAAGTCCGGCTGCACTCTGAATTGAGCTTCTGTTTGACTTAGAGCAGACTGTCCTTCCAATGTTATTATCCAATTCTGAATAACTTCATGTCTATTAGGACTCTGATTTGCTGTAAGGTATATCCCCCATCAATCTTTACAACATTTAACCCATTTAGATTGGATGCAACGTTTGCCTGTCCACCTTTAAGATCAGATCTGACGCTGACGTGCACATACCTTTAAGACTTGATGCAACATTGTTTTTGTTGTTTTTCATTGATAATTCTAAAAAAATGTTATTGCACTTTAATGTACAGGCAATTATTTAGGTTTAAGATTTCACATATTTCTAATTTGATGTCTCTTTCTGCTCCAAAAGCTGAACAATTAAGAATTTAGTCTACATTGAAATTCTTTGCCGTTTTTCTGGAGTTTTGGGAGGTTGTTGTCAAAAAATGCTCAGGTTTGAGAGGGTGTTTTTTTTGTTGTTGGTGGGATTAGGATGGATTAGGAAAAAACTTTTTACAATGACTGAAAAAAAAAAAAAATTCCAAAAAGACTTGGCAAAATACACAATACATAGTACCAAAACACTGGCTCTTCTGACTAAGTGAGCAACTTATCAGTCCAAAAATCCTCATCCTACCTTGGCTGAACTATTAACTTGTGCGGGTGATATTTTGTTCTGTCGGGGTCCTCCCTGTAGATGTGCTCCAGAATATTGACCCCCGGCACTTTGTCCCACTTAGGTAGATGAAACCTCTTGCTTGGCTCAAAAACAGTCTTGGGGAAGATATGGTTCTCAATGAGGAACACACCTGTCTGTAGAATGTGACACAACATGGGAAAAATACAAATATTAATACATGTCAAATATGATTGTTTTGATTCTGTTCTAGCAAAAGTGGCCTACCTTTGGATGCTGCTGTTGGAGTGTGTTCATCAGAGACGTCAGGTTGTTGTGTTGGTATGGCATTATAATCTCATCAATATCGTTCAACAGGACGTAACGCGACCGGTCCATGGATCTGTAAACACACTCGTTAAGTGTAGCCAGTTGACCAAAGTAATGCACGTCCCCCCCGCTCAAAGAGTAGAGCCAGCCCCAAGATGGACTCAGAAACAAGTCGATCGGCCAAGGAACTATCTCCAGGAAGCCTGTCCTGTTGTAGCTCTTCAACAGGAGGTCCAGTTCTGGGCCACAGCTGGTGTTGTAGATCACCACCCGGTCAACACCTAGCAACCTGCAGATAGGTAAATCAAAGGTTCAATCATTTGTTTAACCAATTAAAAGAAATAACACAGTTAGTCATATTGTGCTAGTAGCTAGCAGCTTTTTTTACATCTCTTGCAGCTTACATATTGACATTTCAAAGCAGGATATTCACGCCCCTGTCTGCAATGTTTTTATGCATGGATGCAGAATGGTTGGGGTTTTCTGTTCCACCCATGATCTATTTTCAGATGTAACAGGCGCAACAGGGGGAGACAGTGAAAATCGGTAACAATGTGTAACATTGGAACAAACTAGTTAAAACTGATTTTTGTACAACTTTGACTCACCATGTCATTAATTAACGACTCTCGCGACTAGTGGCACCCTAACCCATTACATAAATTAGGGTCGTGTTAATGGAAGTTAATTGGCCAAAACCGTTGACATCAGGATAAGGCAAAAGAAGGAGACAGTAGAACAATGTTGGATCGCAGCTAAAGAAGTTCCGAGATGAAGCATTAGAAGAGGTAAAACTGACGACTTTGATGTCATAATGACAAAGGCTGTACTTTAGGGTAAATCACTGCGTTCAAAAGTATTGGAATGGATAAGTGTTTGTTTCAACTTGAACTTTTCAAAGTATGACAACAGCAGCGGAGGGATAATCAGATATTATGTGATGCAATTCAGTGCACTTTCTACAGAACCTTTTAAATCATGAAATATTTAGAGAAAATGCCTTAAGGTTGATTTGGAGCTGTGTAATGTGTGGTGTGATGCTGACCTGTACATCTCCAGCGACTGTACAAACTGAAGCACATTGTTGATTCCTCCAAACATATTAGAGATACAGACTGTGAAGTTAAACTGCAACTTTTTCTCCTCATTCCCTTTGATCTTCTGGTTTCTTATAGGAAGCCAAAGCTGGTCCAATGCCTTCACTCTTTCTGGCTTAGTCTGAAGAGTAACATGTGTAGCGTTGCAGTTTTGAGGAATCTGACACATGATATCCGCAGTGACAAAGGGATAACCAAAGTTTTCTGTATGTTGTAAAATGTTTGTTGGGATTGTATTTGATAACTGGCCTGCACAGCAGAAAAGACAGTAAAGAGGTTTGGTGGAGTTTTTTTTAAATATGCTAATAATGCGTAAATCAAATCCTTTCACTCTCTGGTCCATGAAGGCTGACACCAGGAAGTGGTCAGTGTTGTTCAGGGGGGTGATGGTGTCCTCGGCAGTCCTCACAGGGCATACTTTCGGAGGCTCCTGCAGCCTTGGGGGGGAAATGTACTCCACAGGAGATGTCCCAGTGACATAGAGAATGAAAATGATGGTAGAAACGAACAGGAAGAACAGTTTCCCTCTGAGTTCTATTGCTTTGTTCATCTGGCCAAAGAGGGTAGATTCCCAACCTGAGGCAGAAATACAAACAACAGTTAGAGACATGATACATTTCACTAGATTTAGATGGTCTGTTTTGTTTCTGCACACAGAGGTGTCAAGCCATTTTAAAATGGGGGGACTGGGACCTCAGATTTTTCTTTTGTCTTATATATTTAAAGAAACATCTCATTTTTATATAATATGTAGAAATTATCAATTATATTTCATGTATGGAAGAGATCTGATTGAAAAGCTACGAATAAATGAACAAATAAAAGGTGAGGAATTTTGCATGATTTAACTGAGGTTCCAGACTGATCGAGAAATAATAACAATTTTGCCTTTGATTAGAAAAATTTTAAAATGGAGAAAAAAAATTGGAAAATAGAAGAAAAGATTGCAGAACATGGCACATTCTTCCAATGCTTTTCAAAGAAGACCCCTTTGCCCCATTCCAACTTCAGCCTGATCACCCACTACCAACTACTGCTTGAAAAATCGTGACCAAGATTTCGGCTACTCTTTAGCTAATCAAATTCATTTGATGAAAAATTGTGCAGTTTGTGGCTACCATCAGATTTTTTTGTACCTCAGACGGTAAAAACATCTGACAGAGGTTAGAAACAAAACTAACACGTTTAAAACCCACTGCTGACACTTCTGCGACCCACTTTTGGGTCCCAACCCTCCAGTTGAAAACCACTGGTTGAAAGTTTTATGACACACAGGGTTTTGCTGTTTGTTTGTATATCAGCATGAAGACAATCACAGCCGTGCTGATATCCAAATTAACAGCACTCCCTCTTGTTCTTCTGTATCGTCCAGCTCTTTTTAACATACACAAAGGACTAATATTATTAGAAGTACCTTTCAGTCTCATTCCATCAATGGGATTTTTTTGAAGATATTTTGTTGGGAAATGTATTTGATTACAAAGATGTATCTATTAACTTCAAGTTAATACTTACTGCAACAAGTAAAAGCTGTTAGTCCAGCCGTTGTGCGTTTGAATACGAGACTGCTGGTGAACATCTAAGACCTTAGACATAGGAAGTCTGAGTCCAAGATCACAATCCATTAAAGGTAATACTGTTTAGATTTACAGAGGCTTGGTCAGTTCAAACCCAAGTTTTTGGGGATGTCCATGTTTTAAATTGGATTTTGTATGATTTGAAGGTCGTTTTGACAGAAAGGAAAACACACAAAGTACTTTCTAGATGGGATTCCAGCCTCATTTTGAGGTGGCTTGAAACAAGCTGACATCTGTTTTTGACAGCTGTCTCTCAGCAAAGTAGCTCAGACTGCTTGAACTGGATTTCAAAAGGGACTTCGCGTATTTAGTTGTCACAGCAACACATACAAAAGGCTTTCCGATGTCTGGACAAACACATCCAGTCAAACCACTTGTAAATAACAGTGTGGATGGTTTATTTTTGGTTCTTTATTGAGAAACTTATAATGTGTCTGCAGTCCAAACACATGCTAATGTGCCTTGCTGAATAAATAATGAAAGGGTACAAAGTGTATTATGGCAGAATTAGTAATGATTTTCAAGTTGGAGGGAAACTACAGCATGCAGGTATTTGTTAACAGGCTGAGGACACATTTGTTTTGTTTAACACACGCTCAGACTTTACTCGGATTATAAATCGGCATCAGGCCAGCACTACAACAGGTGAGACAGGTGTAGCAGGAGAGTGAGGGACATGTTAATCCTACATATACTTTATAATGTGCGAGAATCTCAGTAGCATTTCTAATCATCCAGAAATATTTGGAAAGCCAAGACAGTGTAGACAGTGAAGTAAATACACTGCCTCCGAAAACAGGGTCAAGTTGCTAATTCATTTATTTTCTAACAGATCAAACTCCGGTTTGACTAAACAGACAGTCCATTATTGTTTTACAGTACAAACATTGATTGCTGTTCCATCCAGCCCGCTTTTATTTTAAAGATGTTATCCTGATCTTCAGATGTTGGAACCTTCCCTAGATGTGTCAGTTAGGGGTCTTTGGCCGGCGCCTGGACATCACGGGCCAGATAAGGCTTGGCAAAGACACTTACACTCACCTGTGATTTCCAGCTTCCAATTTTACTTTACTGCTAAGACTTCAAAGTAAACTAAGAGGGTAAACCCACATATAACTGCTTCAAGGCAGGTCTTTATTGCTTTGAGATAATAGTGCAACTCACTGATACATGTGCTGCGGACCGACCGCAATTAAATCAATCAGAAATGACCAAATATGGCACTACAAGTGTTTTACACAGGACATGTGAACAGAGGAACTACTGCAGACACACAGAAGCTAGATGAGGACGCCTTCAGCTTGAAAACATGAAAGTAATGACTACAAATTAAAAGAACACAGCCCCAAAGTTAATGAATTTCCATATTTGTAAAAAAAAAAAAAAAAAAAAAAACAATCTCAAAGTCAAACTTCTTAATAAGAAAATTCTTAGATAAAAGCAGTTATATTTGCAAGTCACAGTAAATTTAGCTCTGATGTTAAGGTGTTCTGTTACTTGTAGCTTGTTCGATTGAAAGAACAGGAAATTCTGGTTATTGATCAAATGGATCCAAAACCCTTTTTCATAGTTGCCCATCACTCTAAGAAATTGATGTAAATTCACAAGGTAATTTCAACAGTATGATCCTGTTATGTTTAAATACAGGACATTACTGTATTATAACGGTTTATAACAATAGTTTACTGTATTATTGCTTGAAAGAAGCAAAACAGTAATTTACCGTAATGCATTTTGGGAAAAATAAATTGAGACCACATTGTTGAAAGGACAGTGGAGTTGGCTTTGCCAGATTGTCATCCATCTCCATCCTGACAATTAAGAGGTGAGTGCCTTACTGCTTTGCTAGTTAGAACAGGCAAAAACCATCACTTACTAAATTTGAAGTCATTTGTAAGATTAAGGTTAGCTAGATTTGGAAATTACACAAACACTGAAGGCAGACACACGTGCAGTGAGTGAATTCTTTGCGAGCTAACATCAGCTTGAAATACAGATCTTAACAGTTGCTAAATGGGACAAAAAACGAAACATTTTTTTGTAATGTGGTTAACTAAGTGGGCTATAATGAACTTGACTTACTTGCCTGGTGGTAATGGTAAGGTTAGCTAACATCAACAGTCACTTTATATTTGTTTCAGCTTCAACTGACACTGACTATTGATTAAATATTGAATTAGAAATGACTAGGGCCTACTAGGCAATATGGCCATAGTATAATATACAGTATTTGAAAATGTATAAAAGGAAACTTTAGTGAGACTGTCAGAATGGACCTGAAGCATGTTTTTTGTTTTTTACTGTTTTAACACATAAAGCTGCTGCCATACATCCTGAATTCATGTACTACCAAGACTTATTTTTATTTGTACTAGTTCTACTTCATACTTTTACTTCTTTCTATATAGAGAATATTCAGAAAGGATTGTACATATGATAATGTTCACTGTTCAGCTGGAGCTGCTTTTGTTCTAATGTTGTTCTTTCCCTTTACAGAATCCTTGTTATGTGGCAGTTTCAGTCTGGAAGGAGAAATCAGAGGGAGGTGCAGGTCCAGGGACCCAGTTTCCCTCAGAGGACAGGTTGTTTATTCAGTTTTGAAACTATAACATAATTTTTTTTTTCACTTCTCTGTTTAAAATGTATCTACCGAAACTCTTTTATGCACTTTTTATACATTGGAAATGGCCTTTGCTAAATGTAAATATTTGTGCTAGATTTTTGCCTATTTAACCTTCATGTTCTTTAAGTGTATTTTCTTTGTTTATGTCACAGTTTAAATAAAGACAGATGTGGTTTGAGAAGACACTTTGAGGTTTTATTATTTGTCTTAACATTTTAAGTTGCAATTTTAAAGGCACTGTTTATTTATTATTTTAAAACCTGACATGCAAGGAATCATTTATCAAATCACTAGGTTTAGAAAATAAATATATTGTGTCCATTTTGGTAGAAGGAAATTAATCTATAGCTAGGTGTAGTATTTACAATTCACAGTAAAAATCTGCAAATGAACAGTATTAAACAGTTTAGGTTTAAAAATCATAGCTTTTTGCTGTGATTTTACAAAAATGGTAGAAAACTGTAAATGTCAGCAACAGCAATATACCGTTAATTTTACAGTAACTTCCTGGCAACCCTACTGCCAGTTGTTTACCATTTTTTAACAGGGGGAATTTCCAAGAGTGCATATTGAACAGCTGTGTTTGTCTTTCGCCATGCCTGGACTTCAGTTGTAAATGTGACACTATGACAATCTCCAGCCCAGAAGTTTGGTTCCAAAGCATCCTTGAGTGAGATCATTGGACCTGATAGGACACTAACTTTCCCTGTTTTACTGACCACAAGAGTGGTAAGGCACAGATTTATTAATAACCCTGTGGAGACTGGTTCCATCTCTCATCAGTTTGAAAAGCTGAGACATTTCACCCCGACTCAGAACCCAATCATTCATATTCCTTTTGCAGGGTCAAACAGCATTTCCTGCAGATATGTCTTAAATCTCAGCAGAGAAACGCCTGAGTGCTTCTCTTGACTAAATATTAAACTGGGTAAACTACTGATCAAATCATTCAGTAATAGCTCTCACGTGCATCATGTATTGTTTTTTTAATAAATCCTAACAACTCTGCACGATACTGTAGGACTGGAATGCCATGATCCCATACGACCATCTAAAGTCTGCTGCTAAAGTTTTATTTTTTGAGTTATGTTGGAAATGAACTTTGTGGGTGTGTATGAATTCTTAATTCCAAAAATGATCAACTTTTAATGGCTACAAACTTGTAACTTTGTTTTTATTATTTTTATCAAAAGAAACCAGATATTTTCTTAAGCTGAGTATTATCCTTTGTGCCGTCTAATCTTGGTGCTCTCTTTACTTACAGTTATGACAACTTATCACTTTATCCAAGACGACAAACGCCACACTGCCTAATTATGTGTTTTGATTACGTGTTAGAGAACTGCAAACGAATAACAGGTACCTGTTCTATCACCGCAACTTAAAAAAAAAAAAAAAACTCTTTTTGCACAGACTCTTTGAAGGCAGCTGATGATTAGTAATAGATCAATCAGTCTGCTCTTATTTAGAGTGAGCATTCGTAACAGAACGACAGCAATTAATCAGTGTAAAATAAACGAGGCCTTTCAGAGTCGTGATGCTTTTCGCAAGATTTTTTTTTGTTAATCACTTCAAGCATCAGTGTAAGAGCGAAGAGTAGTGCAATAATAGCTTTAACACATTTTAAATTGAATAAATAATACAATGATAAAACGTTGATTTCCTCTAAGAAAATTTTTACAGGCTGTTTCTGTGCCTCGCCCTCCAATGCGATGCGTCATTTGATACCACACAATGACAAGTCATTTGTTTTTTTTGTATCCCCATTTCACTTGTCTGACTGGTCCCACTAGGAACAGATACGGGCTACGTTATAGGGAATACATTTTTTTGATTTGTTTATTCCGAACATGTAACAGAAGACAAAGGTGAACATAAAAACAAACAGACAGAAAATAAATAATAATTACAATAGCCCTATTCGCACGGGACTAGTATTACCTGGGGACCTCTAGTAATTTGTAATAAATGCGGAGGTCGTCTGTGATCTTAATCCCGTGCGAATCTGCCATGTCCGTAATTTGTAAAGTAAAGATTCCACCGCAAATGACCTACCATATTTCGCCAAACACAGAGGTTATGTGATAATATTAGTCCCGTGCGAATCAGCATCTCTGTGATTTGGGGTAGGTTTTTTTTTTTTTTTGAGGTTTGTTGTGTTCTCCGCACCCTTTTTATGCCTTTTCCCGGACCAGAATTATGGAGGCTGCATTGGCAATTATAAGTGAAAGTTTTGATAGCATTTTGGGTGCAATTCAGGAGGCTCATCTACCTACACAGCATGGAGACTCATTCGCAGAAAGAGCAAGCCCAAATCCATGAGAAGAGCGAAATCTCGAAAGATGATAAGATGCATGGAACATTTTTACGCATAGATTACGCAGAGCCTTGTGTTATACAAGTAGAGTATGTCTGTCTGTGAATGGCTCAGTGCGAGTGAGGACAAAGAGAGAGAGAGAGAGAAGGAGGGGAGTGTGTGTTCGGCAGGTGTGTGCGAGAGGCACATTAATGATGTCGGGGACCGGAGTAGAATCAGCGCACAGAAACTAGTCAGCATCTGATACCGTTTGAGCTCTGTGTGCGTAATACACGGCCCGACTCCTCAAGTAACAAGCCGGACTCTCCCTGTCTGTTTACATCTTGATGCACCCCAGTTAAAGTGAGGGCTACAAACTGATTTCTCAAATCAGTTTTAAATTCCTCATTCCTGATGACAATCTCTCATGACAGATTCACACACATTGCAACATTACACACAAATCATAAAGATAACATCAATAAAGGTAAAACAACAGAAAATACATCACAATCATACGTTAAAAGCTTGTTTAAAGAGATGAGTTTTGATAGCTTTTAATGATAAACAAGGTGGCTGAAAGGATTGTGATGATGAAAAAGAGACGGCTATACGACGGATTACATGTGTTTACACTTTTTGCTGGATTGTATTGAAATTGACAGATGCTGTTTCATCATTATTTGTAATTGTCATAGATGAAGGCCTTTTGTTTGTGGCTGCATAGACCGCCGTGTCTGCTTGGTTATCGTATGACCGGCAGGCCTTTACTTGCACACTTTGTAGTTTGTTGTGGTGTGTGGGTTGATTATTTGTGGTTACATTGTATAGCCTATTTGGCTGTATGGGCGTCCAACTGTCTTTTGCCTTTTATATTTGGATACCCGCCCGGCTAATTCAGTTTACCTGGGGGCCTACTTATTACATACTTTAACATTGGTCAAATATGCGCACAGACTCTGCCTTAAATACGGAGGCCTACAGGAAAAGTATCAAACAAGGTTATTTTTACACACAAAACAGGGGCTATTCTGTCTAACAGAAATTAGACCAACACATCTAATGAATGTGTTTGTACAATACATAGAAACATATAGATGTCTTTATACATGCTAATACATGAAGAGGATTCAGACATAATCCATACGATATAGGGTATCTAAGTGCTTTTTAAAAGATGTTTTCAAGGTGCATATTTAGAAATAAGACCACTCATTAAGATATAAAATCAGGGGTCTGTCGGTCATACAGAGGGAATCCCCACACATGTACATAAATACATCAAAAGACAAAGTTCAGGAGAAATATTAACTAAACAATTTGCATTTACCTGCGGAAAATGCAGGGGAATGCTGACCGCTGAAATGCAAAACACTGCTCACTGAAGAAGAATCAGCAGAAACCGCTGAAGTATTAGTAGAAGATGAAGAAAAAGTAGATGTAGAAGAAGAGGAAAAAGTAGAAGAAGAGTAGTAGAAGAAGAAAAAGTAGGAAAATCAGAACAAGAACTCACTCACAGCTGAAGTGTGGTTAGTCCTCTCCTCAGTTGAAGTTAGGCAAAGCAGGCGGGGATGGTTATGAGTCTCTGTCCTTCTGTCACGGATCGGGAAAACCAAGAGGAGGACCCAGATGCAGAATCAACAAAAAAAATATTTAATCAAACATAGAGGAAAACAAAAACTCACTTTCCAAAAATCCAAACAGGAGAAAACAAGGAGCCACGGGCAAACCGACACCGACAGGTGAGACTAATAACACAGGTGAAGACAATGAGGGCAATCACAATGGAGGGAAACACACAGAGGAAGGAATGGACACAAGAAACACTGAGGACAACTACAAAATAAATACATGAAACACTGAAGACACACAGAACTCAAGACTGAACCAAACCCACTAGAACATGAACACTAAACACTGAAAATGCAAAACTAAATAATACCAAATCATGACACCTGCGACTCCGACTCTCTGTTGGGCGGGGCGATGCCAAAGCAGTGACGTGTGTATTTTGCGTGCTGCCGCACATCTGCTGCCTATCAGAACAAATACTGGTCAAGCCAGCCGCTCCTCGCTTTTACATGGTGAAGCGAGCCTCCCCTAAATTTGAAGTGCTCACGTATTCTGATCTTTATGGTAAATGCTATGGACTACAGAGAGAGCGATTTTGCCTCGTTATTAATCTCCTTTTCCAGGCAAAAGTGATGAATGCCGAAAAGTACTAGTAAAAGTACTTCATAGTACCCGTGCATGTAGTCTTAGAAGTACTTAGTCCAACCATATCAGAATCATGGTGTACTTATGGAAGAAAATGTTTTACAAGACATCAAAGTCAGAAAAAAAGTCTCATTATAGTGATTTATAGGGGACTTTCACAGTGGATTTCTCAAAAAGTACTCAGTAAAAGTACTTCATAGTACCTGTGCATGTAGTCTAAGAAGTACTAAGTCCAACCATATCAGAATCATTGTGTACTTAAGAAAATATATATATTATATTATTGTTTTGTCCAAGAAAACTGTTTTTTTTTTTTAAATTGTGAACACCTCATTTTGAAAAACGGAAGTTACCGCAGACTCGCAGAATTATTCTCACACTAACTTCCCCGACCTCCGAAGCTATTCCCTGTACAGTATTCTGTTTACTCCCGTTTCATACACGTGTATCTCATAGTCAGTTTTATGGTAAGACCTAGGCATTTAGCACTTCGCGTCATCGCTCTCTCTGTCTGTTACTCCTGCTCGCTCTGCAGTCCGGAGCATTTACCATAAAGGTCAGAATACGTGAGCACTTCAAATTTAGGAGCAGCTCACTTCACCATGTAAAAGCGAGGAGCGGCATGCTTGACCGCAGTGAGCAAATTACCCCATTAATCAATTGTTTATACTGAATGTCAGACAAAGGTATGCACCATTAACAACATTATGAGCTCATTAGAATCATTTCCGGTTGGATTAGGGGGTTTACGTCTCACCTGCACCTTCACGAGACACATGATAACTTAAGTAGTTTACATACATAAACTTTTGAAAAAGTTGCATTTATTTGTTGGGGGGGATTAAAAACCAGATGATGGCTGATGATATCATCTGAGGCTGATGGGATGAAGAAGGTGATGAAACAGTGTATAGGCTTGCTGGTGATGGGGGAAGTGGAGGTTTGCACGTGACAGTGGCATGCATGAACTTGAGTAAGAGAAAGTCATATTTAAATAAAGAATGGAGCAGTGCTATTGGATAGATGTTACCAGGTGATATGAACAGCTGATGCTTGCTTAGTGTGAAAATGGAGCTTTAAAACCCGCGTGCAGAATATAAAGTCTTCCTGACTGAACTTTCCCTAGAGCTACATGTATCTGGTTAAATTATTTGTTTTTTCTGTATTCATTCATTCCCAATGGGTGACAAGAAATATGTTGATCTTTTCAATCCTATATGGAGCAGTGAGACAGTTTTCAATAGTTTTGTGTCCTAAAAGGGTCACCAAATAAAAATATTGACAAAGTCTCCATTTATCAATAAAACACTATGCCTTTGCCAGGATTAAGAAACATGAACAATGAAAAGCTATCAGCAAACTACACAGCATTTTCTGAACAACCACAACAAAGCAAAATAAGTGATTTTTTTGGCACTATACAAATAAAGATTGATTGATTGCAGGTCAGACTTTATCACATGTATTGTGAGCTTTAAGCCAGTTTCAATAAGTCTATGATGAGGTCTGAAGCAGCAACATGTCATAACTATACAAGCAATCTGATAGATCCTGTAATAAAGAACGAGTAACAATCGTATGTCTTTCTGTGAGATTTGTAAGACATTTTCAAAAGGACTAGCCTATATGTCGAACTGTCGTCTCCACAATACAGAGAAAAGAAAGTCTTACTTCTTTGTCACATTAACTCAGTTCCAAACACCTCAGAACAAAAAGTCCTAGTGACAAACATGTGCTAATATGTTCCCACTATCAAGTGGCCCTGACATACAGGGAAAGAGTGTTACATTTCCCCCCCGTTACTGTCATCTTTTAAGGCAGGCTTTAAAATCTGCAACACATTATTCTAAAAAGCGCATGGTCACAATAGTAGGACAGGAATGCTTTCATGGTTGCTTATAACTTTGCCATTGATCAGCACAGAAGATCGAGCAAGTTAATATTTGGAGTGAATCTCTTTCAAACACAGTTTCATTAGCAGGTTCAATGTCACATAAACAAGCAAAATTAAGTTCTAGTGAGGCTTGTTGAGATGTCAGGGTTCAATATAAGTTAAATTACATAAAGGTCTGAGAGGCAGCACAGGTTTGTGTTTCATCTCCCCTGAGCCCAAGAGTTCAAAACGCAAAGGTTTGCGGTCTCCATGGTGACACAGCACACTCAACAATGCCTCCACACAAAGAGGAATGAATAAACTCAGAAAAAGCCGAGCTGTGCTTTTGTAGCATAGTCATGCTAAAAGCACCTTCTAATATTATATTCAACTCTGAAATATACTTCTTAATCTCTCGCTAAGCGTTACATAGAAAGATAGAAATCAAAATACTACCTGAACGCTAAAGAGAAGGCAAGAGCAGAGAGACAGCTAAGCTAAGGTTAGCACACAAATGCTAAAAGGCAATGATAAGATCTCGTCAGAGTATTTGATGAGATGATTGATGCTATCCTCAACAATGTACGAGTAAACTAAGAAGAATACAGCAAGAGTCATTTAGCTGAACTTAGTACAAAGACTGAAAAACCAAAGCTTTCCAGAGGTAACACGTGTATTGAATCCCTTCTTCAGCACGCTGATTCAAATAGCTTAGCTTGATTATTGTATACTTACCGTAACTTAAAAGTAAAAATGACCCGGAGCTTAGCACAACAAATGTAAACAGACATCTAATCACATACTTTATCCTTCCTTTATATATTTTTTTTAAGTGTGCCATTTCATTATGTATTTTATGTACGAGCTGCTCAAAACCAATTGCCCTAAAAGGATTAATAAAGTTGTTTGAATAAAGTTGATAGCATCAGTCATTTTATCTAACTAATCTATCTAATAACAGCGTTTCATCCATTATGTTAAACAATGTCTTCCTGCTCATCTTGAGGCTGTGTCAGAGGTCCTTCTTTACCTCTATAGATCTCTCTCTCAAGCTGCTACTGTGTCCACCTCCAGTGTACTATATTTGTCTCACAGTGTGTTGACCTGCACGTCTCCAGGGTCCGCGAAAACTAGAACACATCGTTGTTGACAAAACAGAACCTTGTCTCTTCCCCTCTGTTGGTTTTCTTCTCCAACACAACATCTCATATTGCAGCACATATTCATGGGATGCCATGCATGAGTGTGGGCACATTTACAGCAGATATTTGCATACACCATGGTGACACTGCCAAGAGAACCCTGCATCCACACATACATTACACGCATTAATACATGTAAGAGGAGGATAACAAGGATCTGGAGGATGACATTCTTTTACCTTGTCTGTCTAGCCAAAGAAAACAGTAGAAGATTCCCAACCAGAGGCGGAACTACCAATCACAGTGAGAGATTATACGTCAAAGGAACAAAGCAAACATGATCTATAATTACAGCAATGAGTCCTGAGGAGGTGTGAATGCTACCACATTTCATGTGACATAATAATTTAAACCTGCACGTCTCATTAAATACAGGAGTTAAAACAAAGTCCTGTCATGTGAAAAAAAAAGCCTTCTTAACTCTTTTTTTTCTTTCTCTTCTCTATTTTTAAACAGCTTGTGTGTGATGTTTCGCCAACATTTGTCTCCTTGATGCCCGAGTTAATTTGCAGAAATGTTCTGCTTTCGCACTAAGTGTATCTTCACTTCCAATTATACTCCAATTTAGTTTTTTTTATAATGTACATCTGAAAAATCTAAAACAGTCCACAACTGCATGCCTTAAATAAATCTGTTCCCTTAAGAGGTACATCAAGCCGCACTTTTTTAAAAAGTGTTGCAAATATTTTCTGATTTAATTTACATAAGAATAGGACAAAAATAGTAGAGACTTGCAATGTAATGTAGTCTAATATGGACTATTCTAATAGGGCTTTTGTTATTGAATATGTCATTAAAAAAAGCCTGTTAGGTCTGAGGAGATTATACGTCAAAGGAACAAAGCAAACATGATCTATAATTACAGCAATGAGTCCTGAGGAGGTGTGAATGCTACCACATTTCATGTGACATAATAATTTAAACCTGCACGTCTCATTAAATACAGGAGTTAAAACAAAGTCCTGTCATGTGAAAAAAAAAGCCTTCTTAACTCTTTTTTTTCTTTCTCTTCTCTATTTTTAAACAGCTTGTGTGTGATGTTTCGCCAACATTTGCCAACAAAAATAGTAGAGACTTGCAATGTAATGTAGTCTAATATGGACTATTCTAATAGGGCTTTTGTTATTGAATATGTCATTAAAAAAAGCCTGTTAGGTCTGAGGAGATTATACGTCAAAGGAACAAAGCAAACATGTCATTAAAAAAAACCTGTTAGGTCTGAGGAGATTATACGTCAAAGGAACAAAGCAAACATGATCTATAATTACAGCAATGAGTCCTGAGGAGGTGTGAATGCTACCACATTTCATGTGACATAATAATTTAAACCTGCACGTCTCATTAAATACAGGAGTTAAAACAAAGTCCTGTCATGTGAAAAAAAAAGCCTTCTTAACT